ATTCATGTTATGGGTATTTTTATACAAAGGAATTTTTTTTGTGCCTGTTGAAAATTAAAGTTTACTGACGTAGCCATAAAAAAATGTTGCTTTATTTATCTGACCATATTGGAATGTATTTGTTAGGTTTTCAGTCAATTAAATTTGGTTCAATCAACAATATGTGGTCATTTTTAAAATTTTCAATGAACATTCGATCAGTCCGGCCCTCGGCTTGCAGCAAAATTTTTTATCTGGCCCTCCGTCCATTTGACTTTGACACCGCTGACTTAGACTGTGGCTTTGGTGACTGGTTGGTCCCGTGCCAAAATGTTCAAGACCATGGTGAGGTTTATTTAATATTTTACACCCACTTCAGTAAGGCACCCCACCCCTGCATCCTTTGCTCATCTTGATTTGATAAGCTACTGGTGATAGTTTGTCAATAATCTTGTATGCTTCTGCCCACTCTTGTCGGACCTTGTGTGAGAGGTTTTTGGGGGCTTGTGGAGTGTTAGCGCTTGGTTGCGTGAACAAATGGTACCACACTCAATCGCCTACCTGGAACTCGGTTTACGTGATTGTCTTCTCATAAAAACTCATTTTCAATCGAGCTGGGATGTGCTAAACATAATAAAAAATAGAATAGGGTAATTTGCAAATCATGTTCAACCATTTCATTGAATACGCTACAAAAACAAGATATTTAATGTTCAAGTATTCATTCATGTACTGTTTTTAGCAAATAAACATTTCAGAATTTTATGGCTACATAAAAAGCTGGGATAATGTCATGTTTTACATAAACGTTTGGGAAATGAGGACACGAATTGTCACAGCTTTGTAGATGGAATTCTTTCCCATTCTTGTTTGATCTACAGCTTCAGCTAGTCAACAGTCCCACGTCTCGGTTCTTGTATTTTCCGCATCACAATGTGCCGCACATTTTCAATGGGTAGACAGGTCTGGACTGCAGGCATAACAGTCTAGTACCCACCCTCTTTTACTCTGAAGCCACACTGTTGTAACACGCGCAGAATGTGGTTTGGCATCGTCTTGCTGAAAAAATCTGGTTCGTCCATGAAAAAGAGTTGCTTGGATGGCAGCAGCTGCTTCTCCAAAACCCATATGTACCTTTAGTCATTAATGGTGCCTTCACAGATGTGGAAGTTAGCCATGCCATTGGTATTAACATAGCCCCACGCCATCACAGATGCTAGCTTTTGAACTTTGTGTCCATAACAGTGCATATGGTTCTTTTCCTCTTTGGCCTGGAGGCCACGACATCCACAAAAACAATTTGAAATGTGGACTCATCAGACCACAGAACACTTTTCCACTTTGCAGCAGTCCATCTTAGATGAGCTTGGGCCCAGAAAAGGTGGCAGCTTTTATGGCTGTTGTTGATAAATGGCTCTTGCTTTGCATACTAGAGTTTTAAGTTGCACTTATGGATGTTTCACAGAACTGTATTTAGCAACAATACTGACACTGGTTTTCTCAAGTGTTCTTGAGCTGATGAGGTGATATCTTTAACACATTGATGTCGGTTTTTGATTCAGTGCCCTTTGAGGGATTGTGGGTCATGGACATTCAATGTTGGTTTTCAGCCTTGACGCTGACATGGAGTGATTTTTCCAAGTTCTCTGACAATTTGATAATATTATGGACCGCAGATGATGAAGTCCCTAAATTCCTTGCAATTGTTAAAGAACATTGTCCTTAAACAATTCGACTATTTTCTCACGCTGCTGCTCACAAAGAGGTGAACCTCGCCCCATTTTTGCTTGTCAATGCAAATCTCCTGGAGTACCCAACCGTGGCACCCACCTGTTCCCAGTGAGCCTGTTCACCTGTGGGATGTTCCAAACAGGTGTTGAGCATTCCTCAACTTTCTCAGGCTTTTTTGCCACCCGTCCCAGCTGTTTTTTAACATGTTACACACATTAAATTCTAAATGAATATGCACGCACGCGCACACACACACGCACACACACACACACACACACACACACACACACACACACACAAAGTACAATATAAAAACTCCAGTAAAGTTGAAAGTTGTGTTAAACAGAATACAATGATTTGCAAATCACGTTCAACCCATATATACTTGAATGCAATACAAAGCAAGATATTTCGTGTTTAAACTGATAGACTTTATTTGTCATTTTATGTTTTTATATTTTATAATTGTATTAATTAGTCTACCACATTCGTGAAAAAATGTTTCCCAGTTAGTCACACTGCTTATTTGTAATGCCTAATACATGTAATGACAGATATGTTGAACCGATCAAGTAGTATGCTGATTAAAAACAAGTGTATAAATGTCTCTTCTCAGATGAAATTTTGCAGACAGATCTTCCTCTGTGTGCAGCACAAATTGGCACTGAACTCCAGAAGCAGTTTGCCACCCTACCAGGTTGGTTTCTTTTCTTGCTCTCCTGTACTTTACATTGATGTTTTCTCATATAAAGACAAGTCTTCCTGTTTGGACGACACTTCAAACTATTTCTACTCAAGATGTGCACAAGGACCACAAAATGAGGCTATGCATTGGGTTGCCATGACGATAATGACTGCTCCGTTGACGCTAAATGAATAATTTATCACTGTGATTATCCGCTGTGCAACTTGAGCCACCAGTTTGTTTATCTCTGTCCCCTTTTTTGATTTTTGAAATGTAGCTTTTGTACACACTGGTGATATTGTACATATGGGTGAGAAGATTAAAATGTTACAATTACGCCTAGTTCTATTCTGCAAATATGCAAAGGGAAGAGCTGGGGGCGTTTCTTGTACATTTGGTCTCTCCTGTGTGACTGCTAAATGCTCAGCATCCTCTCCAGCCCACATCAGCACTATGCGGTGGTTCATTGCAACTGCAACTTTTACCGTGTTCACCTCTGCCTTACAGGGGGCCGCGGGACTGATGGCAGCCCCATCGTCATCTTCCCAGAATTCCCAACTTTCTGCGAACTGGAAGAGGATGAGATCAAAAATGTGCTTTACTACCTCACAACAGTGCCCAGGTCAGTTTCAGGTTTTGTTGGCACCAGCGTATGACACCAACAGGTGACGGCACAAAACCACAGTGCTGCCTGAAAGATGACATCACTCATGGTTTAAAAATAGATACTAGAGCAAACCTGGAAGATAAAACACTGAATTTTGTGTAACAAACATAGAATGCATGTGTGCGTGCGTGTGCGCGTGCGTGTGCGCATGTGTGCGCATGTGTGTGTGTGTGTATCTAATCTATCTATCTATCTATATATCTATCTATATATCTATCTATCTATCTATATATCTATCTATCTATCTATATATCTATCTATCTATCTATATATCTATCTATCTATCTATATATCTATCTATCTATCTATATATATGGTAGACTTTCTGTGTGTCTGTCTTTTTTTTTTTTTTTTGCGACAATCGCTTTTCATATACTGCACCCCTCTGCGAGTCCCCTCCCTTTTTCCCCCACTTGCTCTGTGCACCCAATTGCCGATCTGGCTGCTCTCTCAAGCGCTGATTGGCTGTGGGGGAACAGTATGATGCAGAGCTTGTCTCTAATTGGCTCAGTATGAGGTGCTGCTGGTAGAGGAGGAGTTGGAGGAGGGGGGATGCTCTTGAAGGATGAGGACAGTGCCCTCTCTTCATCTGCTGCAAACACATAATCAGCGATGCAGGACAAAATGGAATGATGGAAAATAAAGGAATATTTCCAGGTCATAACATTGGAATATTGATGATAGAGGTGATTATTTTTTATTTTATTTTTTAGGACTGGAATTACTGTATATGGATTATCGTATTTCATCTTGAATGGTTTGAATTTTTATCATTGTTGGGATGGATTGAAGATTTACTGCTGCTGCTGCATTTGCTAGGTAGCATTTCGATAACTTGTATGCATGTATGTGCTCATTTAAAATTGTTAGACACCCCGTAAGGGTATTACTCCCACCCAGTATTTTCATTTATGTTCACATTGTGCGTTGTTTGGTTTTTCCTCTTTTGTGCATGCGGGATTGCCAATGTCTGGCCAGGCCTTGACTGAAAAGATTGGCTTTACATATATAATTGCACACGCACACACTCACACGGACGGACACCTGCATTATCATGATGAGATTTCTGCATATGGCACTGTTCCTGAAACCGATGCCGATCTTGCTGCATTCGCAAAAAGGCAGAGCCAAGGTTGCCATGGTGATTTTGGGGCGCTCAGTCACTGCAAAACTGCCAATTGCAAACATATTGCTGGCAGCAAGTTATTAAAACCTCTGCTCTTTTAAAGCATTTGACTCCCAACACACACACACACACACACACACACACACACACACATGCGCACAAAGCCCAAATAAAGTCAAAATAAAATGACGAGATGATCAATTTATAAACTACTGTACTTAACACAAATCTCAGGGATATTTTATGCAAGAAAAAAAAGGAACAAACAAACAAACAGCATGCTCTTTTCTTTTGCAGCATTGCCACATCAGGAGTAGGATTCATTCTAGTCATCGACAGGCGACTGGACCGATGGGCCGCTGTAAGGTCTACCCTGCATCGAATCGCAGTAAGATACTGTATGCAAGCATGAGCATGTGGCGTGTGTGTGTGAAGCCATAGGGCAACTTTGAAAATGCTGGTTTGGCTGTCGGTCTCTGCATGCGTCCACAATCATCGCTCTTTTCACTTGACTCTTGTATCTGCGGGCATTCTTTTGGCCTACTAGCCCACTTCAACGGCAGGTGTCCAACCTTCAGCGGGCACTAGAATAGAGAATTGAAAGAGAAATCTATCTATTAACCACTGTTAAGCAGCACTTGCTCATTGGGGGATGCGTTTTTAGCAGAGCACATACATCTGTTGTCAATATGTTAATCCTGTGCAACACTGGTGAGCTTGTTAGGTGTATGCATATGTATGCTAATATATGCTAATTGAACACCAAGATCATCAGGCTCTTGTTCTCCCTTACAGCACAATTTCTGCACACAAGAGGATTATTACCGACTGGTCCATTACATTTGTGTATATAATGATAAACTGTTTTTTTTGGGGGGGGGGGGGGGGGGAAAGATTTGTTTCACCTGAAG